TTAATTGAATCAACTGCTTTAGTTTCCTTTCTTTCACCAGACAAGAAGTTATAGACCCACTAGAGTGACAGTGTAATCGATTTCTATTTTTTTCCTCAGATTAGGTCATTAGCAGTGGGTGTGCAATAATATGAATCTATTTTCGGGGTGTAAGATTAAATTTGTTTAGTCTTCAAAAATACGTGATAGCATCATTTTTTTCTGTTCTTTCTTTTCTGTTTAGCTGTTTTTCATTACGTAATAGACACATAAATCTCAAATATGACACGTAACATTTTATTTAATTGCTAAACATTCTAATATCTGTAAATATACCCTAAATAAACTGGATGCAATCATTTGAAGTAATGCCATATTTTCTATTAGAATCAAGTAGATGAAAAATTTAGAGTCATCCAACGTTGAAGAGAGAAATTACGTACAGAATCATAATATATAATCACTTTGTAATTAGCATTTCTAAAAATAATAGAAAATCGGCTGAATATATCACTTAGTCTGCAGTTAAAACGGAATTCTTGCACAACTTAATGAGGTGTTAAAATTGGCTAATTGAAAGGAAACAGAATCCATTAAGAGAACTGTCAATTGAACCAATAAAATAATGCCAAAAAAATCTCCTTCAAGAAAAAGCAGCAATAATTGTGACAAACAATAATAGTTTCCCCAATCAGCTGTGTTCAGTTTTAATCCAGGTATAAACAAATTAGGTGTGTGGGTAATTCAGGGGAACTGAAAACGGAGAGCAGAGTTCAAATTCTTGGATAGTCACTTGCGCTCACTTTCGCCTTTAGGAAAGGTATGGATTCATCTCTTATCCTTTCAGCTTTTGGTAATATAGTAAAGTAGAGTAGGCTCTATTGCTTGGGATATAAGTATAAGAGACAGATAACAAATTCAACGCGAGCGTGAAGACCGATGGACATCGTCAGGCTATCCTGCCCTTGGGACATTCACTGGTCTCTAATGTTGGAGTAAAAATGCTGCTCCTACCACCAATTTCGGATTTACATACGGCTTAGTAGACTAGAAGGACTACCAAGGACTCTCTAGCCTTGGGCCACTGATAAAATTATAAAAACGAAGACCTAAGAACAGGAGATTTATATTCTGATTTAATGGGGCGGCTTTGTGCTAAGTTTAGTGTATTTCGACAGCTCTAGTTTTAATAGGGTGTATTTAAATTTTGCTACATCTTTTTTCTTATATATAGGTTTCGAAGGGTAAGGTATCGCCATTTTATATTTTTAATTTCGCGCATGCGCATTGGTTTTATTTTATATTTTTATTTTGTCGACTCTCCAGTATAGCAGGGTCAATAGGGCGCTATCTGTGAGAGAAAAAAAAGCACGATGACGGAATTCACTGCGCCTGAAATTTGGAAACGGCCTGCTGTACAGCTTGTCATTCGCGCCGGGAGCTCCAATACGAGATTTTCAGATTGTTTCTGTGTCATTCTGAGAAGAGTTTGGAAATAGATGAGTCTAATGGTGATTTCGAATGTGTTTGGAATGATCCTTAGTTGTGTCGACGTTGTGCCTCCATTCATTTTCCCACATGACCTCAGACTCAACCTGAAGTCCTATATCAAGTGCCATCAAGTGGTAGTGTTGCCCTGAGTCAAGATGGTGGCTGCTAGAAGGCCTTATATCTGGCAAAAGGACTCTGCACCATGTCACACAAGCAGGAGAACCCAGTCATGTCTGTCAGACAATTCTGCGACCACATCATCCCTTCCATCTTGCCACCTAACTACCCAGGCTGTAATGCTCTTCATTATGTGGGATGCAGTTGAGCAAGAGAGCAACAAAACTCCTTGTAACACCAAAGATGAACTGAAGGCAAGGATTATGCCAGCTTCCCATCGAACGTCCAGTGAATACCTCTCGTTACTTTACAATTCTCCTGGACATTGCCATTGAAAGCTCACAAGGAAAGTTGAAAACAAACCCCATCTCCCAAGATCAACATTTGATCCCTATATTCAGTATATTTCGATGGTTATTAAAGGCTTTATTTGATCGTTGTCCATGATACTCTAGACCATTTCTACCATGCCCGACTATCAGATCGGGTCTCCCCTTTGATGCTACCTCCTGACAATTATGTGTCCATCACAACTCGTGGCTGACAAAAGGATCAGGCGCCATTCCAATTATCAGAGGACAGACTGTCTCCCTCAAGGGCGGATCAGTAGAAAATACCAGGAAGTCATTTTGTTCAGGATGATAATTCATCCTTGTATCTGGCTCTTCCTGCTATTCTCTACGAACCAAGTCAGGTCAAAAATGAAATATCGCTGCTGTAGATGCAAAAGAGCTTCTCAGTCTTCCCTTTCTAGCCTCGATAAAATCCCAAAGCGTATCCGCTTCCTTGTGATTGATGAATCATTTTCGACCCTACAACGTCTTTCTCACAAACAAAACCTTGAAAGCTTCCCACTGGCCTATCGCTATTTCCATGTAAAACATTATTCTCAATATGGGGCGCATATCGCACCGGTGGGGCAGGGTAATATTTTGGCGGGGCATACGTAGTAAGTGCACCCTTCAGTTTATTATACCAACAGAATAAGTGGGCAATTCGAGAATGAGTTATTAAAAGTGAATTGTTTTCTAGTGTCTGAGTGAGAGTGTTAATGTTAATGTGTGATTAATACATACGATGGATATAGAGTATGCATATATAAAAATATTTGGTGTGTATGTACGTACATGTGGAATTGGTATACATCTAAGAATTAAATATGATTGGGCGGGGTACCAGAATTTTAGAAATACCAAAGTGGGGCGTGGTCCAAAACCGATTTGGAACCACTGATGGAAAATGTTCAGAAGGACTACATTCCTTAGTTCAACCATTTCTAATCTTCACGGCTAAGACCCGCCATGCTATACACATTGAAGCGAACCATCTTCATTACCTTCTTATTCCATTAGTGAGATGTAAGTTCCACTCGAACCTTTTATTTCCGTGCAAACCATTGTCGTATAAACCAAACCAGTGCGTACCTTTTGTACACTCGGGTAAAGCTAACCTATATATGAAACCGGCACCAAAGACGATGCTTCCTCGATCAAAACAATTTGAACCCGTTCATTTCTAAAGTCAACGGTTATCTTCCACACATATCCAAAAAAATATGCCTCTTACTCTGTAGCCTCTACCTCGAGTGGCTCTTGGGCATTGTACAGGGCAAACATCATTGAAAAATGTTTTGGCTTTACCTCAGCAATAGTTTTCCTGACTGTTGTAGTCAAGAATACTCTAAATTCACCCCGGGGAATTGGGGCATCAAAAGCGCTCAAAATGGGGTCACCACGAATTATCTGGTTCGTGCCACTTATAGAGTATAGTGTGAGAAATAAAATTGTGAGCTTGGGTGGGATTCGTCATTAGGTACAGTCTTAGGTCTGTTTATCTTAAGTGTTAATTTTGATAATGGAATTGTTCATTGGAATAAGTGACACAAAGCAAATCTTTATAGGTCAGGTTTGTATTTACTTGACCCCCTCCCACATTTGAGTCAGGTTGTGACACAAGGTCGGTTTTTAACGTAGAAACCCGAGTGTCTTCATTCGGGCAGTTGGTCTTAGCTGGTTATAGCTTGTCCAAGCTGGTCTGAGCTAGTCTTAGCTAGTTACAGCTGGACCAAGCTGGTCAGAGCTGGTCTAAGCTAGTCGTAGCCGGTCTTAGCTGGTCCAAGCTGGTCATAACTGTGATACTACCAGCGCTGGGACGGATCCCTGTGACCGGTAAGTACCAGAATGTGTATACCATTCAAGAGAGCAAGTTACACATACTGGGAATTTGCTCAGCGTAGCTTAGATGTGGCAAAAGGCCAAAAGTATGCAGCACCCAGTGAGGATTGTACTCACTATTAAGTTGTAATCTATCTAGCGAGACAAGCTTGCTAACAATTACACCACGTTGAGGTGCCAAAATCTTTATAGGTCAGGTTTGTCAGGTTTTAAGATAGAATTGACGATGACACCTGTCATAATCAGGTCAAATGAAGGCGAAATTCCGGGACATAGATGATGTCTCATTGAATATGGTCGACGCAAAGCCACAATTTTGATTGTCTTGCCAGTGAAGGGAGGGTTGCGATGGAGATTCTCGTCTACCCCACGAATACTTACGGCACAGGGCTATTATTTTGGTTCTTGGTTATTTTAGTTCTTGAGAGCTTAAGCCCCACCCCCCATCGAGGCGTATGGCACAAGGCTATTGTTCAAGTATTATTATTGGCTAGCCAATACCATTAGTCAAGCATTGTTATTGGCTAGCCAATGGTCAAGCATTATTATTGGCTGACCAATCAGAGCAGTTCAATTTGTGTTTGAACCCCCCCCCCCCCGCCCATAAAAAAGCAGTCAGAGAAAGAGCAGAGAGGTAAGATGTAACTGGTCTGGACGCTAGTAGACCAACACTCTCGCTGTCTGATGACCGACGTACCTCAATCAGCTAAAGTCTTGTTCTCTGTGCTGCTTTTTAAACTCCCTTGAACAGCTGCCCTTTATTTCGATATTTGAACGACTCTCGGCTGTTTAGACATAACTACAATTGCCAGTCAGCCTCTTCCCCACTGCTTAAGAATTCTTTATACGGGGAAACTTCTTCAAATTCATTTTGTTTATGTATTCATGATCTTAATCAGTCATAGTACCATGAATAAAAGTTGTTATTTTTACACTTGTTAATGAGTTGTTGAAGTTAATTGAGTTTCAAGCATAACCAGGACAAAGAGGAATCAAGCCTGATCTTCGACAGTTCTTTACCGATATTTCTGTGGATACTGAAACACAACGTGGGAGCGCAAGAGTGGCGCAGGGCGGGGTCGCCGGAGACGGACCTAAGTAAGAGTGGCATTCAATGAAACACGCATCAACAGGGTCATACTATCTGTATGCACCTTTTGATTCTCATATAAAACAAATCTGTCTGTACCTTTTGTACATTCATTTAAACCTAACCTATATAAAAAAAAAAGTTCTTATTACGGCCACATCACTTTCAAATAACAGTTCCCGGACGATCACCAAAGTTAAGCAACGTCGAGCCTGGTCTGTACCTAGATAGGTGAGTGCTTGCGAACACCAGGTGTTGAATGCTTGGATGTGTAGGTAGTGTAATGGATAATGGCTCGGAATTGTTAATCGGAGAGCCGAGTTCCAATTTCAGATCGGTTCGTTATATACACTTATACGCAAATTCCCTTGTCCGAAAATTTCAAAAATTTTAGGTGGAAATTCTAAAATTATCCTTGTCAAAGACTTCGGTTGAGAAAAACAGACAAGCAAAGTACCCGTTCCCGCAGTTGTGAGGAAAGGTAAATTTTGGATCATTGGTCCGAATGTTTGCGCTCTGGTTCGCCACGTTAAGCCTCACCTTGTGTCGCATACCGTCTCAATAGGGAAGTCTGTGTAAATACCTAGTCGTTTCGACCCATTCTGTTCGCTGTCTGGCGGGCGACTAACAATACCTCTGTCTTCGGGCAGAGGGGTGACTTAGTCGAGGCTCTGTCTACGAGTAGATAATAACAGACAAAGTGCTCGTTGCCCACATTTGCAGGGAAAGGGCAAATTTTGGACAAGCTTCCCGAGTGTACACGCTCGGGTTCCCCACGTCAGACCTAACCTTATGTCTCATTCCGTCTAAGCGGAAAGACATGAGTAAATACGTAGCAGTTTGGAGTCAAGCTGTTCGCTGTCTGGCTTTCGACTGACAAGACCTCTAACTTCGGGCAGAGGATGACTCAGTCAAGGCTCTGTCTTCGGATAGAGACACGACTGAGTAGAACAGGCACGTAAAATGCCCGGTCGCCGGGGTTGCATGGAATGGGTAAATTTTGAACCAACGCTCCGAATATACGCGCTCGGGTTCCATACGTTAAAACTGGCCTTGTGTCGCATCTCGCTTCCCGTCTAAGTGGGGAGGCCGTTTGGCATCAGTCTTCAGGCTAACTAATACAGGCGCCACTGAAAGTAACCGAAGACTAATAAAGAATCCTTATACGAAGTACATTATACATTATGAAATGGACGAAGTCCGACAATTATCTTAAGAAATTTTTATGTTCATACATTCTTTTTATAGATACAAATATTTAAGTAAATGCTCTGTTTATAATAAACAGTATTAAACAACATTTACCGGCCTGAATGTCCGAGAAATCTTCATAGAAAATATTCGTCCTCCGACAGGAATCGAACCTGTATCCTATACGGAACCGTCATATAGCCTGACGTGCCTTTAACCGATTTGGCCACAGAGGATTGTTCGGTTAGCAAGGTCGATTTTACTGCCTTTAAACTACAGTCTTCCATGATTCTCTCATGTACATTTATATCTGCTCATGGCGTATCCAAATGTAACCCAATGACGGTTCTGTATCGGATACAGGTTCGATTCCTGTCGGAGGACAAATATTTTCTGTGAAAATTTCTCGCACATTCAGGCCGGTAAATGTTCTTTAATACTGTTTATTATAAACAGAGAATTTTCTTAAATATTTGTATCTATAAAGAGAACGTATAAACATAAAAAATATCGTAAAATAATTGTCGGACTTTGTCCATTTCATAATGTGTGACGTCATTTGTTTACATTTGGATACGCTTTGATCAGATATGAATGTACATGAGAGATTCATCGAAGATTTAAGTTTAAAGACAGGAAAATCGACCTTACTATCCGAACGCTCCTCTGTAGCCAAATCGGTTAAAGGCATGTCAGGCCATATGACGGTTCCGTATAGGATACAGGTTCGAATCCTGTCAGAGGACGAATATTTTCTATGAAAGTTTCTCGGACATTCAGGCCGGTAAATGTTTGTTAATACTGTTTATTATAAACAGAACATTTACTGAATTATTTGTATCTATAAAAACAATGTATAAGCATGAAAATGTCTTGAAGTACATTATATAAGTAAGAGTGTGTTATAGCAATATCCATGGGATAGTAACATTATAATATAATATTCCACAGAAAATGCAATCTGAACAGGAAGACGTAATAACTTTTGTAGATGTTCCCATAATTTTTCATGAACATTGTGAGTCTACATGTTGACCAAAGTTAAGTTTGCAACATTTTTCTAATATTATTTGTTTTAATGTCCGTATAAGCTCTTAGTTGTGGTTAATAATATTCCATGGAAAACGCTGGAAAAAAGATTAGTGAAGAAACCTTTTAATCTCAATTTTTAAAATAACAATAATAGCAAATACGGCAATGCGTATGTCGTCATAATTTGCAAGTCTTTTCCTACGAGCAGAACTAATAGTGAGTGAACGAGTCAATAATTTGATGTAAAGAAGATCGATCGTCTTTCTACGCAACGCTATTCAATAAATTCATAGAATTTATCATGGAATAATGTAACCAGTCTACTGCCACATATGCACCTTGTTGAGAGCATTTCAATTAATATGAGATAAGATGATAATACGAAAATGATTTAAAAATATTTGCCAAACTGAACCTGTCTAAAAAAAAGATGTTGAAAATATCTGCAAGAAATGGGGACGGAAAATCATCTCAGCCCAGTAATAAATAATGACAAAGGAAACTGACGGCATTATGACAGATAATAAAGCTGTCTATATTTCTGAGATGAGGTATTATGTACACTATTTACATTACTCGGACTATTGTCCTCATCTTTGTCGCCATATTTATTACAACGTTTCGGCCCTTCAGTATCTGTCTATATTTCTGAGATGAGGTATTATGTACACTATTTACATTACTCGGACTATTGTCCTCATCTTTGTTGCCATATTTATTACAACGTTTCGGCCCTTCAGTATCTATCTATATTTCTGAGATGAGGTATTATGTACACTATTTACATTACTCGGACTATTGTCCTCATCTTTGTCGCCATATTTATTACAACGTTTCGGCCCTTCGGTATCTGTCTATATTTCTGAGATGAGGTATTATGTACACTATTTACATTACTCGGAATATTGTCCTCATCTTTGTCGCCATATTTATTACAACGTTTCGGCCGTTTTACGGTCTGTCTTTCTTCAGGTGTTTGGAATGTCAAACTGAACCCTTTCGCTCACTGGGATAGACTGTTCTCGTTCCACGTGCCAGGTTTAATGGATGTCAGTTGTGAGTTATCTCCTGTTAATTCCCCTCTCCAAGTTCTCCACTGCTTTGAGGACACCACATGACACAGTGGATAAAGGCGTTAGCTAAATCCAGTGACAGGACCCCAAAAAGTATGAGTTCAATACCCGATTAAGGCGGTGGAGAACTTGGAGAGGGGAATTAACAGGTGATAACTGATAAATAACATCCACTAAAAGATGGCACGTGTAACTAGAACAGTCTACCTCAGTGAGCGAAATAAAGGGTTCAGTTCGATATTCCAACCACCCGAAGAAGGCCGGAGCGTACAACGGCCGAAACCTTGTAATAAATATGGCGACAAAAATGAGGACAATAGTCTGAATAAGAATAATGTAAATAGTGTAGATAATGGAGCTTTCTTCTTTCTAGGATTAGTTTATTAAAGAAGGAACCGACTTGACCTCACTGTCATTTTTTTTTTTGTTCTAACTTCACTTCATTAATGAAGGGCTTAGGTTATTGACATTTCCATATGTGCATGCGTATGTGTGTATATGCGTATGTGCATGCATGTGTGCATGCGTATGTGTGCATATGAGTTTGCATGGGCGCGTATGTGTGTGTCTTCGTGTGTATATGCGCATGTGTATGCGTACGGGTGTATACGTGTTTGCATGTGTGCGTATATGTGTGTGTCTGCGGGTGTATGTGTTCATGTGGGTGCATATGTATATGCGTACGTGTGTATATGTGTATGTGTGTCTGTGTGTGTGAATATGTTTATGTGCGCGCATGTGTGTATTTGTGAGCGTGTGTGTATGTATACGTATGTTGTGTATATGTGTTCGTGATGGCATGATTATGTGTTTATATGTATCTGTGTGCATATGTTTGAGAATGTATGCGTGTGTATGTGTGTGTCTGAGAGAAAGAGAGAGAGAGAGAGAGAGAGAGAGAGATTTGTGGTTAAGGAATTTATACAGTTAGCTACCATTGTAAATGTTAGATGCATAAATCCTGGATAAAGTCCTGAATTCGGGATACTGATTTCTCAATAAGTCGGTTTTACGCGCTTAGGTGACCGGTGTCGCAAATTGGTACCCATCTGAAATGATCTTGTGTCGCACTAAGCTGATTAGGAAATACCATGAAAGTGTGGGATACTTTTCTTTTCTTTTTTTTTTTTTTTTTTGCATTTTGTCATTTTTTGTTTTGTTTTTATAAAGCAAAGAATATCACTTTTTGAAGAGCTAAGGAAAAGATCTGGGAGTAAAAAAGACATTCCATTCTGCGCCCTGAACACACTCAACGATGCTCTGGTGATCTCTAAATGCCTGTGAAAACTTGACACTCCAAAAGAAAGATCTACGAAGTTTGTCAGGCTTCTAAAGCAGAACCGTGTCTGGAGAAAATATCAGACAGAATCCGAATTGCTACCATGAAGAAAAATGTCGATATGAAAAGAGAAAATCACCGTGATGAAAACTGAACTGGTTTGGCCATGGAATCAGACGAACGCAAAAGAGGACGTGGTGAGGCACGTAATGGAAGACTAAGAGAGAGGGAGAGAGAGAACACTGGAATGTCACCTCTGACAATTGAAAAAGGTACAACCGTAATTTTATAACTCCAAATTTCCAATACAAATGATTTTCAAATTATTTCAATTAGATATATATGAACAAGTTGAAATAGATAGATAGATAGATAGATAGATAGATAGATAGATAGATATGAACAGGTTGAAATAGATAGATAGATAGATAGATAGATAGATAGATAGATAGATATGAACAGAATGAGAGAGATAGATAGGCAGACAGGTAGAACGAGAGAAAGAGAGAAAGATAAATATGAACAGAATGTGATAGACAGACAAACAGGTAGACAGATAGAGTGAGAGAGAGAGATAGATATGAACAAAATGAGATAGATAGATAGATAGATAGATAGATAGATAGATAGATAGATAGATATGAATAGAATGAGGTGGATAGATAGATAGACAGATTTGTTAATCTA